GAGCATGGCCGTCTTGAGTGCTTGGAAAGCCTGGCGCGCGTCGTCATCGAATACGAATGGCACCTTTGGCGATTGTAGTCTCGTCAGAGGTGCGGCAATCTTTGAGTATCCGGTGATGAGACGCTGATAATAGCCTGCCAACCCCATGAATGAACGAACGTCCGTGGTGTTGGAGGGCTCGGGCCATACGCGGATGGCCTCAATCTTGTCCGCAAGCGGACGGATGCCTTGCGGCGTCACATAGTGTCCCAAGTACTCCAACTCTTGCCGCGCGAATTCGCATTTGTCGCGGTTGGCTTTGTACTTGGCCTGTCGTAGCCGTTCCAGAACGGTGCGCAGGTGCTCCACATGCTCGTCCAAACTCCGACTGTACACCAAGATGTCGTCGAGGTAGATGAGTACGAAACGATCCAGCATGTGTMGRAACTCCAATGTCATAGCCGCCTGGAATGTGGTTGGGGCATTCGTAAGGCCAAACGACATGACCAGCCATTCGAAATGCCCATATCGCGTTTTAAACGCGGTCTTGTATCGGTCCTCCGGGCGAATCTCAAGTTGGTGATAACCCGACTTGAGGTCCAACTTCGAGAAGAACTTGGCGCCGCCCAGTCGCTCCAGGAGATCGTCGATGCGTGGCAGAGGGCCGGCGTTCTTGACCGTTTGCACGTTGAGCTTACGATAGTCGATGCACAACCGCAAATCCTTGTTCTTCTTCCGGACGAAGAGAACAGGCGCACCGTATGGCAAAGAGCTAGGCCGAATCCAGCCTTTCTCCAGAAGGTCATCGAGTTGTGCCCGTAGCACACTTAACTCTTCCTCGCTCATTCGGTAAATGCAACCACGCGGAGGTACAGCCCCGTCCTCGAGGATGATCTCGTGGCGGATGGGCCGATCCGGTACTATTCGTGCGGGGCCTCGGACACGTCACTATAAGTGGCGAGAAGCTCGGTGATGCGTGGGTCCGATGATGCGTCCGTCAATGGGGTGTCCTGGGGCGGGAGGGCGTGGAGAAAACACACCCCCATCTCCTCAATGTCATCCYTGATGATGGAWYCTCGAATACTTGCGGCGGACACCACGTGACAGCTGATCGAAGGGTGAGGAGGAGGCAYCGTGCATGGGACTAGTACTCCATCCCGGTCACGAACGTGAACGGTGCGGCGGTAGAAGTTCACCGGGTGGTCCTCACTTCGCAGCCATGACATACCCAAAATCATGTCGAACTTAGTGTCCAGAATGTCGAAGGACACGGCCTCGCGTGCATGCGGGGCGAAATACACAGGGACGTTGTCAATGCACCGGTCAATTGACTTGTGCGTGTGACCATCGGCCAACGTCACGTGTGTCGGATGGGACTTCCTCCTGACGCGTGGGCCAAGGCCGGCGCGTACCATGAACTCCAGACTCATGTAGTTGCGAGTTGCACCGCAATCGATCAAGGCGCTGCAGGTCGCCTCTCTGATCTGAATGCGTACATACAACAATGGTGCGTCAATGTCGTCGTACCGTTGTGTCTTGAACTCGCGGTCGATCTTCGCGATGTACTCTTGAAGGTCGACAACCTCTACTCCGGCGTCCATCAACGGAGTTGGTACTGCAGTGTGCAAATACTCGCGCAATTGTGCCATGAGCACATTGTAATGCGGTTTCGACAATCGACCGGTCGGGGGAACGGGCATCCACTGGAAGTCCGCAACTGTCAACGGGTCGAGCTCTTCAAGTCTTGACCACATCGACGAATCCCCTGAGGTAAATGATGGCGGAACTGTCGAATCGGTTGCCGATGGAGATGAAACCGTGCATGCGGTGGAGTGTTGCACGTGGAGTGGTTGGTCCARCGGTGGGACCAAGTGGATAGCATAGTCCTCGTAAGTGACACGAGAACTTGCGACATTCGCATCCTCCCCAGATGTGTAGGAGGCCGCTAGCAAGGCGGCCGGATCTGGCGGAGTGGGAGGTGGAGTCGCCTCACCTCCCGCGCTACTCAGTTTCCTGAGTTGTTGCGAGGCCGAACATCCTCCTTCTCCTTGTCCTGGCAGAGGGAGGTCTTGTGCTTGGTGTTATTGAACCAGTAGCAACAGCCATACCGACCACGGTATTTGTATTCGGCCTCGGTCAAGTTAAACTTGACCCATGGCGCTGGCTGCCCTGTTCCAGCCAATGATGAGGTCTTCGCCTTCCCATTGTTCCGGAACTAGTTGGTGCTTCTCGGCTGGACAGCAGCCACCTGATCTCCTTCACTTGATGCCGTGGTGGTTGCCGGGTCGTCTCCACTGTCCGATTGGACTGCAGCGAAATGCTGTTGCCGCGGACCAGTCTTTACCTTCTCCACATAGGTTGGCTGCCATGCTGATTTCTCGTGTGCAGCCGCCCTATTAGTCTTGATGATCTCCCTCGGTTTGTCGATGATCTCAGCGAAGGTTGAGTACTGCTCGCAATCACCAAGTGTCTGGCTCAGTGCAGCACATGACCTATTGTCGAACTCTCGGCACAGATGCGTAAATGGCAAGTCCAGATCCGGCGTTGCCGCGATCTTTTGCCATTCCGTGAGCCAGTCTCGTGTTGCCGTGTTGCCTTGGGTCATGGTGAAGAGGCGGTTGATGGCGAGAGAAGGCGCGTCGTCGACGATGAACCTCTTCTTCCACAACCGTGTCAACTCCTCCCATGTGATCTTGTCTCGAAGATCTACCACGTCGACGTCGTGAGTGGCTGCCAGATGGGTCAACCAAGTCTGGCATGCGCCCTTTGAGTTAAGGAAAAGGGCACTGATGTATGCGTGCTTGGCGACTGGCAGGATCCGAAGCTGCGTCGTGAATGCTTCCCACCAGAGGACCGGATCCTGATGCGTGTAGTCGTCGAACTTCTCGAGTTGGAAGGTTGGCATCTTGTACAACTTAGGATTGTCCTCCGAGTTCGTCGACTGCAGCTGCTGGACCTCGGTCTTCAAGGTATGCAGCTGACTGCTGATGGTGGTAGGTGCAGCGAAAGCACTGATGTCGCCGAGCATCGCCACTACGTGGTCAACGCGTTCCTCCAGTTGGTGGCTAGAGGGTTCACTGCTGGACGTACCAGCATCTGGTCCTGGTAGAAACTGTTCCAGGTCCAGTACACGGGCATTGAGTGTATGTGTTGCATCCTCGTGGCCCTGCACTATTTGGCGGAGGTCTGCCAACTCTTGGTGCTGTTTCTCTAGCTCGGCCCGTTGGTAGTTGCAAGTATACAACAGGCGTGACACGAGCTTGGAGAGAAACTCCTTGTGTTGCTCTTCCGGTGTCGGCTCGTCGCCATTTGGTTCAAAGTGTCAGTACTTGAGTCTTTCGATGTTGGCTGCTTCATGGCGCTGCAGCAGCTCCTGGGCTTCCTTTCGGCGTGCCCAGTTGTGTGCCTCGGCTTCGGCCTGAAGCCGCTGTCTGTCAGCTGCCGCTGCCGCCTCAGCCTGTAGGCGGGCAGCCTCGGCTGCCGCCTGGCGGTGTTCCTCGGCCTCAATGAGCGCGAGCTGAGCCTGGACCCGCTGTCGGTACTCGGTGATGGACTCGTTGGCCGGTTGGCCTGGTAAGCCCAGCGCTGGTCCAGTCATGGTTGCTGACCTGGCACTGCTGACGTGCACTGCTGACGTGGCACTGCTGACAAGGGGGTGGGTGGGAGGGAAAACGCAGGTAGGGATACCAACCCTACAATACTTTCCTCCGGCCCTGATCTTTACGAGTGAGGTATGTCAGAAGAGTACTATGAACGAGGTCTAGGCTAAGTTTGCAAAGTTCCGGTTTTTACACAATGCAGTCTTGAAAAAATTTGCGAAATACAGCAGAGATGCGATTTTCAGAAAAGGATTAAATCCCGTTCTTGCGAATATGACGATCTTCGACTATGCCTAAAATGTCATGCTGATAGGCTCCGGAAGATTTCAGATTGCGGGATAAAATGGAAATTCGATTTTCAGAACAGAATAATTTCGGTGTCCGAGAATATGACCATTTCTATTACTATCCTGTCATGCCTAGAAAACGAAAATACTAGCTTCAGAGATTTCAGCTATGTATGCGAATATCATAAATTTCGGATTTTAATATCGGAAAAAACGAACCGTTTCTTCAGAACTTCCAGATATTTGTTGCGTAACAACGAAAGACTAACATCGGAATTTCAGAAGAAGCGAAATGCTAATACCAGAAATTTCAGATGTTGTTGCGAAAAACGAAATGCAATACCAGGATTTTCCGATAAACGAAATACTATGATCACGAATTTTCAGATATGCAAGAAAAGAAAAAAAAAATCAGAGTTTTGACGAAGTCCTACCTGATTTACTAATCAAAAGATCAATAGATCGAGCAGGCTAACTCTTGATTGAKCGGTTCCTCTGAATGAGAGGTCCGCTCCGATACCAAACTGTTGCATACTAGATCATGCAAAACAGAACAAGAACCGACCTTTCATTTCAAAGTACAAGATGGCGAGCGGAAGACTTATCAATGATCCGACTCAATCAATGTTGCAGTACAGTCCCGACATTTATCATCATCATACAATGGTGTGAAGGGCTGACGCTCACACAGAATAGATAGCGCCAGACCCCAACATACACAGACGAAGGGGGAAGGGAAGAGACAGAGGGAGAGGAGAAGATGGGAGATATCGTCAACTCCAAGTCTGCGTCACAGGTCCCAAATAATCCTCAACGAATGTCTGTATCCCGGAAATCAAGTCTGATGACAATGTCGTCATGTCCTATGTCAAAACACCATCTTGTAGCCCATAGACGCTGAGAGGCAGGCAGCGGGAGGGGAAGAAGAGATGGTGGACTTAGAAGAGGAAGAAGAAGGTCTCTCTCTCTCTCTCTCTCTCAGTCCAATACTAATCTGTAAAACTGGCGTCTTGATGCAGGTACCCCGAGGATGGAGCTGGAACGATGGCGCCACAGGTAAGTACCACTGGCCTCCGCCAGTGTCTCTCTCCGATACTGCTACCCTGCCCTATAGCGCCCAGCGCTGAAGACGACAACTATGGCTATGGCCCCCAGCGYCGAAGACTWYYCCTAGCGCTACCACTACTGCCTAGCGCWGAAGACTACTGCAGCGCTCCTCCTGAGTGYTGCGGCCGAAATCCTGAAGACTACAAGTGCCTACTGACCACTCCCTCCTGCAGGGCGGGCCAGTCCTTTATAGTGCTGGCCCGTGCAGGAGGYTGGYCGTGCCAATGCCTCCCTGGCCTAGACCCTGCGGAAGCTTCCAGGCAAGAGCCTGGAAGTTCCCTGAAGTTTCCCTGTAGGGAAACAGGCTGGGGCCTGTAGGCCCTGTCAGATRGAAGCTTCCAGGCAAGAGCCTGGAAGTTTCCCTGTAGGGAAACAGGCTGGGGCCTGTAGGCCCTGTCAGAAGGAAGCTTCCAGGCAAGAGCCTGGAAGTTTCCGTGTAGGGAAACAGGCTGGGGCCTGTAGGCCCTGTCAGAAGGAAGCTTCCAGACAAGAGTCTGGAAGTTTCCCTGTAGGGAAACAGGCTGGAGGTCCGGGACGGGCCCTGCAGGGCCCGTGTGGCTGCATAGTATGCCACACCCGGCCATGCACGGACCAGGGAAGGTCTCAGCCAAAAAAAAACAAAAAACAAAAAAATCAAAAAAATCCGAAAACAAACTATGTTATGCAGAAACATAAACTGAACAACTTTTGCCTCAGGGTCACATCGAGATTATTTACCAAATTTATATTAAAATTTTTAATTAAAAAATATTTTTTACTTTTTTAGTTTTTTATTTCTTTTTGGCCTGGCCAGGCAAGTGGACCCGGGCCACTCTGGTAGCCTAGTTATTTTGTAATCTTTCGCCTGCAAAAAAATCTCTGTGAAAAAAAAAAGAAAAACGGACCGATTTCATTTTATTTTTATTTTTTTTTTCTTTCTTTTATGTTTTTTATTTTTTTTAAATAAAGAAGAAGTTCAAAAAATAAAATAGAAAACATAAGGTTGTAGATCTCGAAAATGTCTACAACGGTACACCCCTGTATTTTTTTATTTGTTTTCTCCTCATTATTTTCCAGGGAAAACAATATTCTCACGCCCGCTCAAAGCCCGCTCAAGCGCTTTTGAGCGCGGGATTGAGCGGAGACCCCGCACTCGATCAGCGTGCGGTAACGCAATTTTTTCATGTCCATGCCAGGCGGCCACTCCTTGTTGATTGTCTTTCTTTTTTTCTCACGCAGCCAAGATGTCTAGGCCAAGCCATGTTTTTTTTTTTTTTTTGGCCCCAGATCCGTGTCAGGCGGCCGCTGTCGAGCGCATCGACTCCCGCCTTTTTCGCAAAGGCGAGAGCCCTCTCGGCCATGTCACGCAGGAGTAAAACAAACAAAATAAGAGACAACTTAAAAACGACGCAACACATCCCGCGAGCCGCCGAGATGGGCGCGGTCGTGTCGCTCCTTCGCCGCTCTAGCCGGGTGCGCCAGCTATACATCCCTCGGTCCCCTACGACAGGATAGGTTCCCGCGGGGCATAAGCTTTCCTTCCCTAAGGGGCTGTCACCACCCTTAGGGGCGTATCCCTACCGAGCAAACGCCCTCCGCTGACCTAGCTCTACAATTGCATCTAAAAGCTTTCGCATGGTCTACTGGGCCACAACCTTTCATATAGAAGGGTTGCAGGCATGGCTCCTATGATAGGAGCTAGCCCAGTAGGTTATAGTGCAGGAGTCTCACCCAGTGGATACCGGGTTTGAACAGCACTCACCGTCGGGCTAGCTGCCCTTTTTGAAGGGGCGCGGTCGATTTCGACCGCCCAATCTGAAAGATCGCGCGATCAAGATCGGCCGCGCAAGTGAGCATGACCCCTGCGCAAGGATGACATGGTCGGGAGGGTTCTCGCCTTTGCGAAAAAGGCGGGAGCCGATGCGCTCGACACCGCTCCTTGTTGGGAGTGGCAACAGCCAAGAGGTCTACGCCACGCCCGTGGCTGGGCCGCAGCAAAAAGGTGTCTTCGCGAGTCGGATTTCCCCCCCCCCCCCCCCCCCCCCAGATATTAAACTGATCAGAACAGATACTACACTTGATCTTTATCCAAAAGGCCGAGAAAGGTATTAGTCGTTTTCCGACCCTGCCCTTCCGCGACTGGTTTGCCAACCCCACCCCTCTGCGAGCGGTTGTCCAGCCCACCTCCGTGATCCAAAAAAAACAAAAAACAAAAAACAAAAGGAAGGACGGTACCGGTACCTGCTCCTGCCCCAGGCCTCGGGAAAACGACCTGTAGCAGTACCTGCTCCTGTCCCGGCCACGGGAAAACGACCTGTAGCAGTACCTTCTCCTGCCCCAGACCTCGGGAAAACGACCTGTAGCAGTGCCCGTACCTCCCATTTATGCTCATTGTTGAACTGGCGGGCAGTGGGGACGCATGAGGTTTTTTTTTTTTTTTTTCGCAGTTTGTAACTGCTCTTCGCCCGGACCTACAGCGTGCAGTTCTGCGAGTTCATTGGTCACAGGCGCAGTTGTCTAAAAAAAAAGGGCCGAATTTCAGAAAAACACATCCTTCTTTTAATGTTTCCTTCTGAATATACCTTCAGAACAAACTTTCATGGCATAAACAGTGTTAAACACCTTTTCCATTTCTTTTCCCCTTGAGCTATCATCATTGAACTGACGAGCCCAAGGTAATTCCGAATGATTTTCTTCCGTTCTATCTGCTTGCAGCTCCATTTGAACCCCGCTCTGTATCTCAAACAGTTCATGGGTGTAGTAACTCAGAAATACCTTCTTCTTTTTCTTTTTTCTTTTTTACTTTTTAAAGTTTTTTTTCTTTTTCTTTTTTTTTTACTTTTTGTTTTTTTGTTTTTTTTTTATGCTGGGAACCGGACCCAGCCCCATATCGAATTGTCCAGATCATTCAGAAATACCTTACCTTCTTTTATTCCGACCATACCCCAATTTCGTGGCAAGAGAACCCTTGTGATTGCGACAATACCCCTCTCCCCCGACTGTCTATGTTGTGAGGGTGTATCATCCAGATGCAACTGCATCACACACACATACACACACACACACACACACACACACACACACACACACACACACACACACAGAGAGAGAGAGAGAGA